AGATTTCCTTATATAACCCAGTCTCATGAGCCTCCTCATCATCACCTATTTTTGTAAATATAAATACTCACTCGTATAACTCAATGATACTTTGAAACAGGGAGTTTTTAACGGCTCAGAATGATTAAGACTCGGCGAAAGAAGCTCCATGTATGATCGGGAAAGCCTTTCGGGCCGACCGAAGAATAAATATAAGTACTGCGCTCTGCCTTTCCTCCTCTGCCTCGTGTTTCTTTTATTGTTATTTTTATTGTTATTTTAAAATTAATTTGCTTTTCTGCCAGAGTTCACTTTCCTCAACATGCGAAATGTGCACTCCGGCCAAGGTTTCCGGCCTACGTGGGACACTAGGGACGACGTGACGGGATATTCTCGTTCCCGAGGGACGATGATTACTTTGACTTACTCCGGTTCCCGTGCCGTTCATGTGTTTCACTCGTTCGCAAACAAGACTGCCATTATCTTAATCGAGGTCATAAATAAGGGTGGGCACCTGTTCGGGGGGGTAAGCAATCGAAAACCGGAGGAGGCAGAGATAAAAGGAAACGAGAAAGGAAGAGAAAAAAATGAATGCGAAAATAGAGTCGTAAAAAGATGAAATGGAGACGTTTCAGTCAATACACATTTTGTATTACCCCCATGAAAGGATTATTGTACCCTTCTCGGAATGAAGAAGAGCAGCAGGAATCCTCTATCCACGCATGCACACTACACTAAGAAGCCGCAGGTTACATAAGCGAGATTCCGATCCATATTCACCCATGAACATGCCGAAACGTGCGTCCAAGACTCCCGATTGTGCCTTATTATGCTGTCCTTTCGGCGAAACTCTATAACCTACTCTCGTCGTAGTAGAATAAAGGTTGAGAAATATTTACATTTTTTGTTCTAATTTGTTATGCAAGTTCAGGAGAGTCCGCAATATACAATATGCAGTAATATGTGGGACTTGGGCACACTCGATTGCTACGATGGAGGCTCTAACTTAGTGATCGAATATGCTCGTCAGCCTCGCTAGTGACTCGACTTCCCGCAATCGAACTGACTCGATCGCCGCGTGTGAAAGGGTTAGATCTGCTGAGAATTGATGAAGCTAAGTGCTTACATAGCGAGAATTGAATACAGAGCGGTGATACAATTTTTATTTAATAAATAAGTATTATTTCATTCAAGTCTGTTTGGACTTATATGTACACTAAATTATGAGTTGTTCTAAACTTTGAGGGAAAATCTTCCCGAAAAGCGCTACGAAAGAGAAAATGATCTCAAATCATGTGTCCAAGCATTTCTCGACGATCACGAAAATGAATTTTTTTTAATGCATGCTTGCCTCACGGTCGGCAGACGGTTTGTTCACGTCCAACGAGATTAGGCCTATTATCATAACTTAACTTTGTTTCGTGGGCCTAAAAGTGTTCCTAATGCCTCGGAGCAGAAACTTCTGGTTCCTCCTTCGTATTGATGATGATGAGAAAGCAGGCTCTCCAAAGTAACGACAGAAGAGAGGGAAAGCAATTCGGAAAGGGCTATTAGAAGAAAAAGGTGTCGGTCGGGACACGAAGAGACGCTGACTGGGCTCTGCCATTCGGATTCACTTTAACTGAGGCGCTGCAAACTTAGGCATGCATAGAAGCTAGTTGAACGAGCGGGAGAATCGAGAGACACGATAAGGAAGTGCGTCACAGGGGATATTAACGGATGTACGCGAGAGTGACACGAAAGAAATGAGAAAAAGTGCCATTCGTGAGAACTCTCGATGCGACAGGAAAGAAATCCCTGGAGGTCTTCGTATGGGTGGGCAACTTACGCAATGTCTGATAGTAGAGGTCTCTCGTGCCCCGATTGTTTATTCTTACTTGGAGATTGAGCGAGGAGGGAACAGGAAATGACAGCATCGCGTGGGAAGAATTGCTTCCGCGATTTCCAACAACTTCGCAGGTAAATACTGAGATCGATGAAATCCAACCTTCTGCCGGTGTGCCGGTCTCGAAACGATCGCGAGGTGTCCTTGCAAATTTTTATTACGAGTTGCTCGACGGCTGGATAAACGTGGTTCGGAAATGCATGACTAAGGATTGCACGATCCCAGCCTGAACGCCTCAGTGGATGCATCTAATGACTAAAGGGTGTCACGTGATTTTCTATTTTGATTTTTAAGAATCATCCTTTAGCTGGGCTCATTCTGGATTTGGGTTCGGTCACAATTCACGTGGTCGTGGAAGGGAACTATGAAAGTCTCTTGGGAGAATATCGGTTCCATCGTTTCATGTTCACCCGGCAATTTTTTCCTTCAATCCGCGGTGACAAACGACAGCAGGAAGTCGAGACACTTCAATCCCTCTTTGCCTTGGGGAATATCTTAATATCGAAGGCAATCCGTTTCTCGGCGCGGCGCTGTCAACTCTCATTAATCCGGACTCAAGGGGATTGGCGAATTAGTCCGGATTAACGGTTCGTCCGGATCAAGGAAATCCCGATCACTGTCGCATTTCCCTTTCCCTGATAAAGATAAATGCACTCAAAATGTACCGCAAAACACCTGAATTTATTGGTTTTTATTTATTTTTATTTTTATTTTATTTTATTTTTTGTTTTGGTTCAAGCGAAGCAAGAGAAGCGCCAACTCGGTTCCTTCAGCGAGTCGTATGGAAGAAATCCAGATTTCTTCGATTCACGCAAAAACCTTGTCCCGTGCGAAACGGCGCCGAGAGCGCTTACCAGTGACGTCAGGGAAAGACGAATCTTGCGTAGGTTCTATTGGCAAGGATGGACAAGATTCACGGGTGTAAGAGGGACACGACTGATAAGCAAGACAGAAAGTCTAAATGGGAGCAATCACCATTACCCGATTCCCGGAAAGGGGAGACACGGGGAGACACGGTGGGAGATATGGAGCGAGTTTTTCGCGTCTCTTTCTAGTTTCTGGGAGGAAGAGCCCCGAGCACTTGTTTTTCCCTGTCCTATTCCATCTCTTCCATTAGGAAATCCGAATCGACGGAAACGGCCGGAGGGAGGGGGGAAAGAAAGAACTCAATTGTTGAAATGGGAGCCCAGAAATCACGGCGTTCGCATCATAACATTGATCTCTTTGAACTCTTGATTGAACTCTTTCACTGGGGTGCTCGCATTTTTTATCCAAAATTAAAAAATTGGATTTTGAAAAAAAATTGTGAAAAATATAGATTCTATGGGATCCCTGTCAGAAACATTCCTTCCTTCCAAATTAACAGAAACGCAAAATCACCGATGTACGAACGAACGAGATTTCTCTCTAACTCTAATGGGAAACTCATTCATCTCACGAGGTCATTTTCCTACTTTTACGGGCCCATTCGTATCTGGGAATGAGGAAATGCAAGGAAATCGGGGGATGACGTCCAAAATTTGGTCGGTTAGTTATCTGTTAATTCACTAGTAAAGTCGACGCTCATTATAACGAACTCGAAAGAACAGGATTAAAAAAATTTCATTGAGAAAAATTCGTTATAGTGAACTCCCCACATTTCGAATTTCCCTTTGCGAACGGCGAGGATGGCTTTCGTTGCTCCTCGAAGGGGAGAGCCTTTCATTACTCCATCGAGAAGATTAAGACTAAACGTCGTCGCTCCCTTTCTGCCCACGGCCATGGCTCCTACACCTGGCTATATCTCATATCTACACCTGGCTGCGCCAGGTGTAGATACGAGATGAAACTATTCAAGATTGCACGAGAGAACAGTTCTGACGTGCGCAGCAAGCTTTAACTTCGGAATACGGAACGGATTTGTTCTTTCAAACGAAGAAATGACCGTAAAACCGAACGATTCTTTAAACAAAACTTTGCAACTTGCATTTGAATGAGCAGTAAGCTGGAAATCGAGCTGGAAAAAAAATCATTAAAAAAATTGGCCATGGAAATTTGATTTCATCGAGAGTCGACCGTACATATTAGGAAAACTCTGCCCTTACGATCACTATTAGTTTTAGATTAGCTCTGTGTGCGGTTTTCTCTAATCAGGTTTTAAAACAAGAATCTCCCCCTCCAAATTGTATACCCCCAGTGACCCGAAGATGAAAATTCACACGGTCGGAAAAAAACCCATAAGACATAGCTCGTAATGGCAATAAGTTCACAAGCTCACTCATCGTGTTAGTGTTTTCATGAGAATTCAACCGGAATCGGTAGTTAAAATTTGGAGAGAGAGCTTTCATTTCACGCGATGTGAAGTGGCCTCTCGTGTCAACATGGCTCATCTTCCAATCTTTCGCGCACCATCCGACTGCCCCCCTCCCCCCCGAGTGTCCCCCAAAAGCTCTCCCAACATTACAGGTCTGTAGACAGAGAACGATATGGGGATATCGACGGCAAAAATTCCATTGCACAGGTTGCTGGAAAATGTAAATGAAATTGATCTCGCTCGACCCGAGTCGCATTTTTTCCGCACGATGTCGAATGATCGAGTGTCACCGTCAGCCACACTCAGCTTCAGGCCGTCTGCTCGACGGAAGAGTCCGACCGGAGAGGAGGGAAGGGGGGGGGGGGGGGGGGGGGGTGGGGGGGGGGGGGGGGGGGGGGGGGGGGGGGGGGGGGG